GGAGATGGCTGACAGAATGACAGCTGCGGTCATTTTTCATTTTCACGGCATTATTTTACATTGAATGAAAGCGAAAGGTGACTGAAGCCGTCACGCTGCATTTTTGTTTTTCACAGTCGAAAGAAATGAACTATTTCTTTGACACATTAGAATTTTTCTACATGAATTTCTGTCGTTTATTCATTTCAAAGTAATCCCAAGAGAGTTAGCAGAACCCGCTGGTTTTGATGTTATGCCGGACAGCCGGCGACCGTGATGTGAACGGTACAGGACAGCTAAAGGTGACGCGTCGCATTAGAAGACAGAAGCGGCTGTGCGAACAAGACAAGGAAGCGAGCAGGTGTAAAGATCCGGGCTGGCAAACGGTCATCACAGGCCTTCTTTGCGCCAACACAAACACAGTACAACGCATTGGGTAAACGGATTCATTAGTGGTAAACCCTTCGGGGTTTATTTTGCCGTTCCGAGTTAGCAATGTCATTTAACTGAGCGACCGGGAAATTAAAGATGTCGACAAACAGTTAATCATTTAAAGGATGACATTAATCACCTTCGCTGTTTAAATTATACCCTAAATTGGCGTGTCAGTTCTAAATCTAAATGAGATTTTAAATATACTATGTCCCCTGCAAGTGGGAAACGCTCACATTGCGCAAAGCTGCAGACTGCATTTATAACCCCAAAAAATGTCACATCTCGTCGACATTGTTTATTTAGCTGATTTTCATGCATGATTGGTTGAAGCCCGCGCGTATTAGCAGTTTTTGGTGATTACCAGTGGTGAACTCGTTGACAGGTTGCTAACAGCTGTTTAGTCTTGGTTACCCCTGGATATGAAATAACTCACGAATGAGCGAACATCATCGCACGACTCTGTATTTATCGATATATTACTGCGCTCAGTGGCAACCAGCGTAAAACACTGTCACTCACCTGCTCAATGTCAGTCAGGTTTCTGTACGCAAAATGACATTAGACCCTTCCAGCAGCAGGACCTGTTTTCATGTCGATCTGGGTCATTAATCTCTCGCAATCACACTTTCACCGGAAACAGACCAGAGCTCACAGCGAAGCAGCGCACTTCCGCCCCGCACTCCGAGTTGTCATTTTGAAAGTTTAGTATTCGAGCACAAAACAGAACTGAAACTTGAAATGAAATCATGACTATATTAAGTTATCAGTAGAGTTTGAGTTCTAAAAGAGTTCTAATAATGCTATTTATTTTATTAAGCAATGTATACGCCACTCACAAACATGGCCGACAAACATTCTCCGAAACGTCACTTCCGATTTTAATTTCTCATGTCTAAAACATGTTATGATAACATAATATGAAACATAACAAAAACGTAATATTATAATATAGAAACTGTATTAATCAGTAATGCCTAGAAAATTAAATTTTATTTTTATACGTTTTTCTGGTAGAATTAATAGCTGCTAACTGTAATTACGGCTTAATTTTTATGAATAAATAAAATAATAAATAAAAAATACAGGTTATTTTATTTTATTGTTTTTAATCGTCATACTGCAGATGTCATTTCACCACACCAGAGAGCGCTGTCATTCTTACTTGCTGGGTTTTAGCTCTAGCTCTGAACACTCTCATATGGAACACCACACACGGAAACACTGACTGTGGCCTATTTCCCGCCATCTGTCTCTGATTAATGTAAATACCAGAGGGTAAAAATGCAAGTCCGTGTACATATATAGGTCAAAGGGTCTCAATCAGAGATTTATACATCATCTGAATGCTGAATAAACAGTTTTCCATTGATGTATGGTTTGTTAGGATAGGACAATATTTGGCCGAGCCAAACTATTTGAAAATCTGGAATCTGAGGTTGCAAAAAAAAATAAAAAATCGAAATATTGAGAAAATCACCTTTAAAGTTGTCCAAATTAAGTCCTTGATTATTAATGGACTTGAAGTTTTGATATATTTACAGTAGGAAGTTTACAAAATATCTTCATGGAACATGATCTTTACTTAATATCCTAATGACTTTTGGCATAATATAATTTTGACCCATACAAAGTATTTTTGGCTATTGCTACAAATATACCCCAGCGACTTAAGACTGGTTTTGTGGTTCAGGGTCACATATACAGTAATAGAGTAAAGGTTTGGATTTGGGCTGTGTGAAATTATCTTTGTAGACACATTTATATGGTATGCATGCATGACAAAAAAATACAATACAAAAAAATGATATTAAAATCATTTTATATGAATAAGCTGGACCAGATAGCAAAGAAAAAAACAGTGCTCTCATGAACTGACTGAGAGAATGCCAAGAGTGTGTAATCTAGGCAAAGGGTGGCTTTTGAAAAACCGTGGATGGTTTTGATTCATTTACATTTTGCACACTGCATACTTTATATATTTCACTTGTGTTATTTCATAGTTTGAAGGACTTTACTGTTTTTCTAAAATAATAATAATAACAAAGAATGAGTAGGTGTGCCTAAATAGAGTATTTGCATAGTTCTTTCAAGCTATAGCTAAATGGACATATCCTGGAAGTATAAACAGGAAGCTGACAGAATGCTGCATGTCCTGAGGAAACATCTGGGGCAGTAGACATGAATGAGTTGGGTTGAGGGGGATAGGGGTTAACAGTGATGTCATATCTGTCCGTAAGGACCAAAAGACTGTCACTCTTTGCTTGCTTCAAGGGATTTCCAGCCCTTTGGTATCTGGACGCTTTGAAGAACCGATACAGCATCATCAAGGTCAGAGGTCAAAGCAGGGCTCTATCAGTGACATCAAAACAGCCCTTAAGCCATCTCTGTATTCAACAGTACAAGTTTCTCAAGTGAATTGATCTGTTTCACCACTTGAAGCCTAAATATCCCTCTGTCAAATCAGCAAGGGAGGAAATATGCTTTGTTCTTGTGTAGTTATATTATGCATATTTTGCGTTGGCCATACAGCTCATGTGTGAAATGCCAGTGGTCAACTGTTGCAGCAGGATATTTACATATGACTGTGAAAGGAACAGAGCAGGAGATTAAAAGCATGTCCGGTGGCAGGGCTGGGTATTGTATTTGAGCAGTGAATCTTACTATAACAATGACTTTGGGAAAGCAGGTTTTTCCTGATGACATATTATTGTTAAACAATAGTTCACCCCAAAAGGAAATTTCTGTTTATTAATTTACTCACCCTGGTATTAAGAAAACTTCTGGAACTGAGGCAATGAGTAAAGATGGGCAATTGCAAATCAAGTACTTACTGGACATCCTGGGTCAGTGGAGTGGCTACCACTGAGACGAATGGGAATGCTATTGGATAGCTTTCTCAAGGTATCATACATCTTCTTTGGTTTACAGAGCCTAGGGCTGTCACTGTGTGATTTCAGTCTGTCAGTTTGCATTTTACACCTTTAATAACCAGACATGTTCGAAGAATGTTTTGATAATTAATGGAAAAGTTATTTCTGAATGTTCTCAGAAACGTTTTTCATGTTTATGAGAATGTTAGTGTAAACATTAGGAGAATGTTTCATTTTATCATTTAAACATTATGGGAACATTATTTTGAATGTTCTATGAACGCTTTAAAACAAGTTGTAAGTAGTATAATGTTTAGAAAACATTTTGAAAAAAAAGGTCCATGATTAATGTATAAATAATGTTTTTGCTAACATTTTGAAAATATTATTAAAGACTATAACTGGAATAATGTTCATAACTTTGAGATAACCTTGCCTGACCGTTCTGAGAACATTCCTTGTTCGCTGCATTAATCCAGCTAGTATCACTTCTGCATTTAGATAAAAATACAGGTGAGCTTTTGATGATGGTCATAAACTATTTACAAGACGAAATGAACTAAAATGACTTAAAAAAATTTAAATGAAAAATACTAAAAAATAAACAAGGTTCTGAAATTAAACTAAATAAAATCAGTTGGAAAATTAAATGCTGCTGATTAATAATCATTTATTAAATGACATGAAAAATAGGATGGGTAAATATGACACTTCATTCTGATGAAACAATTTTAGGATACAAAAGTGTGAAAAGTTCAAACTTGACATATACT